TAACCCTCATTGGGTCTTAGACGGTTGATAAATGGATCAATTGTCAAAAAAAGTAGACATTTTATAAAATAAAATAAAGTAGACATATTATAAAATAAAATGGGTAAAGAACCTTAATTCAAAAGAAATGGTGCAAAGAAACTTGTGGTTGAGGCATGGAATTCAATCCATTGCCCTTCAGAGAGGTGATGTCCCTCAACTATAACTTTTAAAATTCTTTTAAGGGAGAAAAAGTTATATTATTGGGCTTTTTTTTTTCTTTTTTGTTTTGGGGTAAACTATAATTTTATATAGCAAAACCACATTGGTGCTCATGATCATGAAAAAAAATTCATGATAAACATAACAAATATTTATTACACTAAACCCATCAAACCTTGTATACTACATGGACTTTATGTGCCACTTATTTGGTTCATAAAATGGTGAAATACTTCATTAATATATTTTAATTTTATTGAAACAATCTGAGTTGAGTGGACCCAAAAACTTAATATCCATTACTAATTTTATGTGAGTAGATGTTATTATTATGACCTAATGAATATTAATACTCCATGAAACAATGTTTTGTAATGAATATTAATAATATCATAAATATATGACGACATTAATCACTATTTACATAAATCAATTAAAATTATTCAACTTCAAAACACTATCTAAAAAATAATAAGGGTAATAATATTGACCTTCTCGTTTAGGTAACACTTACCCTTTCCATTTTCAGGTAATGATCAAGCCTATGCGAAATATTTGTTAATACCATCATCACTTTTGTCCTTGAAATTAACTAAATCTGTAAATCTGGCCAAACCAACCTAATACATTTTGGTCCGGTTCTATAATGGATGGGTTTTGGATTTAAAATTTCGAGAATCATTCATTATGGTTTGATTTTGGTTGGAGGTTCATAAGGACTGAACCAAGTCATATAGATATATATTATATATTGTGTAATAAACTTGTCAAATTTTGATTGGCAGAGTATATAACTTTTCATGAAGTGTAAGTAAAATACTTAGATCTCGAAAATATATTACATGATTGTTGATGTGGACTAATAACACATGTACAGGTTATCTTTAATTACCAAATCAAATATGGTGGGATATAAACTCACTTACCAAATCAGAAATAGTAAGTTAATTATCATCTCTGATTTAGTAATTAAAATAGAACAATACTTAGATCTTCACTTTATTAAAATAAGATATTTTCATTTGTTATTAGTTAAGATAAGACATTTTCATTTATTATTAGTTCATGTCACTAGTGAGATGGTATAGACCCAATATATATTTCAAAATTTGGTTGGGGAGATATATTGGCACTATATAATCTAGGGCACCCTTGTGCATTCTTGATTTTATAATGCCATAACTATCATTTATACTATAACTTTACTAGTATTTTTTATTTTTTTACTTTCTTACTTCCTCTACTTTTTTTCCCCCTCAAAAATGAGATTATTTATTTAACTGAAACGACATGGATCAAAAATAAATTGAATTGTTACAATGCTTAAAGGGTGTAAGAAGTAGTAGAATATTTATTTCCCCAAACTTATTGATATTACGAAAACTTTGATACACCGAAGCAAGTCAAAACAAGAATAAAATGATGTTATTGTGTGTCTAGACCTTTCTTACTCAAGTCATAAGCCACTTTATTTTATCATCCGCAAAGTAAACTTCGAGATTTGAAGACATTCCAAATTAATTGTTAAAAATCAGAGGAAAAAAAAAAAAAAAATCCAAAACTAAACTCAAAGTATACTATTCTTTTCTTCTCAAAATTGTTGTCCATCTTTCTATTTTGGAATGTCCCAAAATACATGTTCCATTCTAAAAATATATGTACTATTTTTTATAACATTCCCAAACTATCATTTTGACTAAACAAATGTACTAATTACGGAATACTATTTTATCTTTTAACAATGATAAATTTATAAATTCACTCTTATCAATACAATAAAATAAAAAAATTAAAAACCGTTACAATAAAAAGCTAGATTCCCTAAACAGCCCACGAATTTTGGGACAGAGGGGATACATAAGAAGAAAAAAAAAAAAAAAAAAATACAACCAGTATTAAAATCGAAGGAGTTTAATGGCTCATGAAGTTTTGATAGTTTTTCGATACTTTCCGTCAGGGACGGAGCCAATGAAGGCCTAGGGGGGGACATGCCCCTTGAGTTGACCCGCACTCTATAATATATGTGATAATTTTTTTAATTTTTTTCATATATATGAAAAAAAATTATACAGTGCCCCCCTAAATTTTGTAGTTCCTAAAATTATCTCTTTATTTTTTCTTTATTTTCGTATTTTACATAGAAAAAGTCAAAATTTCCTTAATAGAAAAAGTTAAAATTTCCTTCCTCAATTGAAACTCTTTTAACTTTTTTCTTTTTAAAGTTGTCTCATTTTTCTTTTGTTTTCTACTTCTACTTTTAAAATCTTTTTTTTTAAGGTGCAAATTTGAATAATTTTCTTCTTCTTTATCTTTTGAATTTTATAGTTGTTATATTATATATATACACTCCGTATTATTATTATTTTTTGGCAGCGTACCCCCTCTCACTTGAAACCCTGGCTCCGTCCTTGCTTTCCGTGCTAACAAGATCAATTACTTTGTTCATCTCATTCATTTCTTCATTTGTGAGATCTTCCATTGATACATACAAATATCAATATCAAAACTTAAGAAGAGATCGACAAGAGATACTAAAGAAAGAGAGTTGAGAGAGACGGGAAGAGCAAAAGTGGGAGTTAAGAAACATAAGATTAAAAACATCAAAGATTGGAGAGAGATAGAGTAGGGGAGGCGAAAAGATGATCTACATTTGGAAGGGTAGTTTTGATATTTGAAAATAGAAATCATTCACTAAGTGTCATCACCTTTAAAATTGAAGCAAGGGCATGTTAGCACTGATAAAATATTTTTTTTTCAAGCAGGCCGAAAGTATAATAATGTAACAACAGTGTATTAGAATAAGTGAATAAAAAATGAATAAGAAGAGGAAAAAGAAAAAGAAGGTTATTGCACATAAATTATGCATTAGTGCAAGAAAAAGAAATTTTTAAGAAGAAAAAGCAATTTTAAAGAAGAAAATGAAATAAAAAGAAAAAAATATGAGACAATTTTGAAGGAAATGATAGGTTTTAATTGTAGAAAGAAAATGCAAAAGTTTTGAAGATGACAAAAAGATATTTGAAGAATAAGAAGGAAAGTGAATAAAGAATTAAAGACATTTTTAGAAATAGATAATTTTATAGAGATAATTTATAAATTTTATGAGGCTGTTTTTTAAATATTTAGAAATTATACGCATAAAATAAAATAAAATTTAATGGATTCAGGAGTAGAGGAGCCATTTTATTAATTTTAGGGAGGGCATTGTGTCAATTTATACAAATTTATGTATAATATATATATATATATATATATATATATTCTAGTGGGGCAACATGGGTAAGGGGCAGCTGCCCACCTGGACACATGCTGCCTCCACCCCTGGTTCCAACGACTTAGCTCAATTTCAATAGTTTTAAATTGTTGGAACGGTTTGGTTTTGATTCATCTTAGAACCGGACTGCTTGCACCTGTAAATCACATCCCCTTGTGAACAAAGTGGATATGCAAGTTTCAACTTAAAAAAAAAAAAAAAAAAAAAAAAAAAAAAAGTGAGAAATGAAAAACCCCACCTCTAAAATAAAATAAAATATAACCACCATTAGCATCGAAAGAGTTGAATGGCTCATGAAGTTTTGATAGTTTTTCAATGTTTTCCGCGCTAATAAGATCAATTACTTTGTTCATCTCATTCATTTTTTCATTTGTGAGAACTTCCATTGATACATACAGAGATCAATATCAAAACTTAAGAAGAGATCGACAAGAGATAGTAAAGAAAGAGAGTTGATAGTGATTGGAAGAGCAAAAAAGGGAGTTAAGAAACAGGAGATCAAAGATTGGAGAGAAATAGAGTAGGGGAGACGAAAGGATGATCCATATTTGGAAGGGTAGTTTTGATATTTGAAAATAGAAATCATTCACTTATCAAATTAGGGTTAGAAGTGCCGTCACCTTTTAAAATTGAAGTGTAATTATAGAAAAACAAAATGCGATATCGCCTTCTATTATTCTTTTTTATTTTATTGGGTTATATACATATATATATATATATATATATATATATATATATATATATATAATGCATATGTAAAAGAGAACCAAACTGATCATTATAGTTTGTTTCCACGGGTTCCAACAACTTAGCTCAATTTCAATAATTTTGAAATTGTTGGAATCGGTTTGGTTTTGATTTGTCCCAAGACCAGACCGCTTACACCCATAATTCACATTGCTTGTGAACAAAGTGGATGTGCGTGTTTCAAAAAATAATAATAGTAATAATAATAATAGAAGGTGCCCACCACATCCTCATTTGATATATGGTGATGATAATATGTAATGGAATTATCTTTTAGTAATCAAACATATAGCATCAAAAAAAAAAAAAAAAAAAAAATTTAAAAAGAAATTATATTTCCCTTCTACAATCAAGCCTTACATTTTTATCCTTAAAAAAAAGAAAAAGAAATTATATTTCCCTTCTACAAATCAAGACCTACTTTTTTATCCTTTGAAGTTATTTTACTTTTACTTTTTTATTTTCTTCTTCTCATTTTATTTTTGTTATCTCTTCTCCTTTTGTACTCATGTATGTATGATGTACATGTTATAACATTTTATTTTCTCACTTCTTCTTTAGTTTTACTACTCTAATTTTATAATATTTTTATTTTAAAAAATAATATAATATTTGAATCTTGATTATTGAAATAATTTTTTTTTTTTTTTAACAACTAGAAATAATTACTTTATTACATTCATTATGTATGCCCCTAAAATAAATTTATGCTCCGTCCTAAAATATATATATATATATTATATCGTTTTTTGGGGAAATACAAGCAAGGACGAGAGAAGTTTGTATGTTGTGAAATGGAGAGAGAGAGATAAAGTGAGAAACAATAATAACGCTCCGTGGCTAGTTTAGTAAGATCACGTCCCCAATTCCGCTGTACTTCAGCCATTTTTGTGGACGCGCCCAATACAAAAACAGAACAAACCATCATCATCTTCCTCCTAACCCAAAAATCGCAGCAAACAAAGCCTTAAAAAAACAAACAAAACTAAAAAAATAAAGATACTTTCTCTCTCTACCTTACCTCTTTGCTAACCCAGTTTCAATTGAGGGTTATTCTTCATTCTCAAACCCTAACTTGCTTCATCATTTTCATACTACAAAATAGGTGAAACCTTAACAGGTTTCTATAATTCTAAATCTCAATCCACATCTGATCGGTATTTAGTATTTGCCCAACAAACGTTGTTGATCTTCTCTTGGGGAGTCATTTTCACCGTTTGATTTGAAGATTAGTGGCTCTATTTATTCAATTTCGGACAATTTCTTTTAATTCGATCGAAGCATATCGATTGAAAGTTGAATTTGGGATTTGGGTTTTTGATTTGAGTTGGAATCGGTGGGTTAGAAGATGAATAATAATCAGAAGAAGAGGAATTTTCAAATAGAGGCGTTCAAGCATAAGGTGGTGGTCGATCCCAAATACGCCGACAAGACATGGAAGATATTGGAGCACGCGATTCATGAGATATACAATCACAACGCTAGTGGTCTCAGTTTTGAAGAGCTTTATAGGTTAGTATTCATAGTAAATTTGTCGAATTGTGTGATTCTCAACCAAATTTGTACCTGTTTTATATGTCTGATCTGCATATTTATGAGTATAAATATATCGTTTGTTACATTTGCTCAATTTGTGCATTGGGATGTAAGAGGAGAAATGCTTGTTGAGCTTTTGGGTTGTCTTTACAATTCTTCTGTTGCACCAGGGTCTCCTCGGATGTCAGTACTGAGGTTTTCCTGGTTTTGGATTGCGTTCAGTGATCTATAGTTTGTGGAAATGGTTTTCCGGATTAGAATTGTAGAGGTAGGGGGGTCTTTAGTTGATTGAGATCTCATAGGAAAGCTGGAGGCAGTATTGTCATTTTCTTTGCTGCCCGGGGGTCCTGTTTTTGCTGAATATCTTTTGGTTCAACAGTTGCCAACGTGCCCTAGTGTATGCATTGAAAGCTTTTCCTCATATGTTTATAACCTTCATTGTCTTTTCGATTTCACTTTTAATTATTATTACAGTTTGTCACATAATATTACTCTTCTTCTATTGTTTTCTCTTCTGTTTTGTTGGATTTCATGTGCATATTAAGTTTTACAACAGCAAGTTGATACCATGCTATATTGCATATATATTTTGGTATGCATTGTTGTTGTCACTGGAAAAGATGCAAGGGAACACCCAAGGATAAAAAAAAAGAAAAAGAAAAAGAAGAAGATGCAACGGAACTTGGTGAGCTGTGGAAGAAAAGATCTAGGGGTCTGGTACTATTCAAAATTAAAAAAACATTGTTGTTAGTCTTTTTTAACCGAAATAAGAAACCGTTACTTTGGAGGAAGAATTTTTTGGTGTTGTAATTAATGAAAATATTTACCCAGATTGTTAGCTTGTATATGTGTCAGTGTATGCATTGGATTTTGATATATACACATATACAAGCTAACAATATATATATATATATATATATATATAAGTAAGATTTCATTAAAAAAAGGCGCTCAAGGGGAGTGCTCTCAAGGAATACACTTTTTTTTTTTTTGATAAGTAAGAAATGCATTGAAAGTGCTCAAAAGGGGAACGCATTCCAGGAGAACAAACACAGGGCCAAAAAAAACAGCCCTCTAAGCCTTCAAAGAGGCCAAGAAAACAACAATATCCTCAAAAGATCTATAATCTCTACCCGTAACCCAACAAAAAAGAGTGGAAAAAATAGAGAACTTAAGAAAAGAAATAGGCCTCTCCTTGCCCTCAAAATATCTGCTATTCCTCTCCAGCCAAATGCACCACCACACACAAAGAGGCGTAGCGCTCTCAAGGAGTACACAAGATGCCAAAGGCGACAACTAATGCTTCAAGCTATCCACAAAATCCAAAAGGTGATCCAAAGATTTACAATTGCACCCATTAACCCAAAAGAATAAAGTATGAAGAATACTATATTTGAGAGTCCAAATAGGAGTCTCCTCTCCTTCAAAGGATCTCTTATTCCTCTCACGACATGAACCCCACCATAAACAAAGGGGAATGGCCCTCCAATCATCCCTAGCTCGGCTCTCCACTGGACACCCTCTCCAATCCTCAATCATATCCACTGTGGATACTGGGAACACCCAAGACAAGCGCAACAAAAAACGTTGCCCAAACTTCCCTCGCCACTTAGCAGTGAAGAAGGTGGTTCACAGTTTCCTCTATCCTCTTGCACATGCAACACCAATTAACCACAATCTGCCTTCTCTTCCTGAGATTGTCGAGAGTGAGAATGCTTCCATGAGCGGCACACCACACAAAAAAGCCACCTTCAAGGGGGCTTTCAACCTCCAAATTACCTTCCATGGGAAAGAGTGACTTGGAATCTCCACAAGACTATGATAGAAAGCTCTAACCTCAAACACCCCTCTCGACGAGCCCACCAATAGAATCTCATCCATCCCCACTCCCTCCACCATCTTGTTGTAGAGCAAAGCTAAGAACTCAGCAACCTCCATAAGCTCCCAATCATGAAACCGCACATCCCAAGTCAAACTCCCACTATCAAGCTGATAACAGTCGGCAACCTGAGCATGTCTACTCGAAGAAATCCTGAACAACCGAAGCAACCTACGAGCCAGAATAATTTCCCCACACCAGAGATCCTCCCAAAACCTGATGAGATTCCCACTCCGAACTCGCAATAAATTAAATTTATCATGTCTAATAGTATCCTTGTTCTATTTTTCCTTATTACATTAAGCACCAATTTTCTTAACAGATTTCTCTTATAGAAATACCTCTTCCTACGTTTAGAAAAGTATTTATCATTTCAATGTTGAGCTATGCCACATGGAGTCTTCCATTCCCCTCAACAGATCCGTATTGACATAACATGACATGGGTATGTTTTAGGTATGTGAAATGTCTGACACTCGTACCTAAATCAGACACCCATATCCTTTACATGTGATGATAGAATAAAAAGAAAAACTCAAATTTTATAGCAAAGAAGTCTTTCCTACTTCTAAAAAGGTGGACTCCCTTTTTGACCACTGCCATTCAATTTAATTTGCAAATATTTATATTTTATATAACAATATCATCATATTACACCATCAAATTTGATGTTTAGATGTTGTACTTAATGCAAATATAACAGAAAATTTAAATATTGAGTTAAAATTTATGAAATGACTAAATATTCCATTTCATCACCGTAAATCAGAAATTAACTTCGGGTTTCATTATAGTTGCATGCTCTTCTAAATATTTTTTATTAAACTTGTGGAAATGGATCACAGGTCGGTTTCGGTTATCTTGACACGATTTAGACTTCAAAATTTGGGGTTGTCTTAAGTTTTGTCTTGTCAATGAAAAGATTCTTACCATTGTGGCAATGGGAAAAAGTACTATAACACATCAATTTATGTGTTGTATATCTACACGTCGTGGATGTCAATCAATAAATTTGAAATGGAAACAATATCTTTTTGTTGAATCTAACATATTTTGGAATTGAGTTTCTCGACTGGATTGAATGCACTTATATTTTACCCTTTTTGATCAATACTTGTATACAGTATGAATGTAGGCTTCAAAAATTAAAGCTTAACAGAGATATTAAGGAAAGATACTTAGACATGACGTATGAATAGAAAAAAGAATTAGTTAACGGAGGAGGAAGAAGAAAATTTAGTGGTATTTCAGTATGGTAATGATGTATGATCTTTGGGCACATGATATTGAGGAGGAGGAGGAGGAGGGAAGAAAAAAACTAAATGGTATTCTCATTTTAGTAATGACATATGATCTTTGGCCATAAGAGACTGAGTGCAGTGTATTGACCTGGATAGATGTTGAATCGTATATGAAAATGGACATGTTTTCATTAATGATCCACTATATAGGTGGATGGTTTCATAGATTGGTTTAAATTTGGTTTTTGTTTTTTTATGTCTTCCTATGTTAACCCAAATATACTGAAGTTTAGAGTTATTTGAGGCACTTGTATGAAATTTTTGCAGTCTAAAGATTATTAGGTTAATGATTGGTTGTAATGGGTTTAATTGATGGCAGGTCACAGGTGTGTTAAAATAGATTTAATGTGTTAGTCCATTTGGATTGGGAATTTTAGTGAAGACTTCCAGATAGCTTTCATTATATCATTTTGTTTGGTTTATATCATTATGGTGTAATATCTGCATGATTAATGTAGTATTTTTTATCCTTTGTTTTCCCTTCTAATTCTGGTTGATATCTTTGAGCTCCCCCCCACCTAAATGAATATATTAACACCATAAAACAATAGAGTACAAGGCTAGAAGTAAGGGCATACCTTTACAAAAGAAAGTAGCAGTCTATCTCATAGAGTACAAGGCTTTTTGGAGCGTAGACGTGCCTTTATCAACTATGCAAGTGTCATGTACAAATTGTTTTTAGAAACAAAAAATAAGAAGCATGGACACGAACACGATACGTCGAACAAAAAATAAGAAGCATGGATACGTCGAACGTCAAATTTTTTAAAAAATAGGACACATATACGACTTGGACACTGCTAATATAAATATAAAATTTTCATTTATATCTCTATTGAGTAAGACAATTATAGATTTTAATTAATTTATAATTTCTATACTAAAGTTACATTAGTAAGAAGATTAAGTTATTCGAATAAAAAAGGATATTATATTATATATGATAATACTCTCCTACTATAGTTATGTTTTTGTTCATGAGATACTGTGTTGTGTTTAATGTCAACTTTTTAAAGAAAAAGTAGTTGAATAGTTTAATGTATGTTCATAATGTTATTTCTAGTACTGTCATGTGTTTGATTTATATAAAGACGAAGAGGTATGGTGTGTTGGCCAAGTGTCCGGTGTTAACCTCCATCTACTCTAAAAGCTTAAGCCATTAGAGAGGGTGTAACTTTAATATTTAAATCCTTCAACATTTCTAAAAGCTTAAGTTGTTAGAGCGGGTATAACTTTATTATTTAAATCTTGTTAACCAAGTGTCGGTCAAGTGTCCAAAATAATAAAAATTATTTTTAAATTATGGACGCATCCATGAAGTGTCGGACATGTGTCCAGGAGTGCCCATGAAGTGTCGGTGTCCGATATGGACACGGCACCTTCAGAGATGTGCCCGTGCTTCTTAGAACAAAATCAATCAAGGAGACAGATAGGCATGTTGTGGCTAAATTCTTTCTTTGTTATTTTAATCAGTTCAGTAGAGAGGATATTTTTTAATTTTCTATGTCTTCTAGTGGTATTAACATGTCATCTGTTGCTATTACTTTGCTCAAACTAATGAAACAGTCATATATTGTTGATGCAGCCAACTAAGTGACTGTTACCAATCGTGTGCCATTTGGCTGATTAGATTGATTGAGATCAGTTCTTAGGCCTCCGGGTCCAATTCTAAACTGCAGACCCTTGGACACTCCAACTAAAATGCACTAAAATCATGGTGGCATAGCTTTTTACCTTTTTTATTTTCCTTTTTGGGTGGGGGGGAGGAAAGCATCAGCCTCATTGGCAGGCTCCTATTGTAACAGCGTTGATTTAATAAAGTAATTATGACATGGAAAAGTTTCCCTGTTTGGTTGGGATAAAACAGGGAAACGAGAGGGCATATTTGGAAGCCCTTTTGGTATTGCTCACCAAGAATGAATCAGAACAGAAAAAGAAATGGAGCAGAAATTTTTTCTTCCTTAAAATTTTTGCAATTGGAAATATTTGTGTTACAAAGGAAAAAAAAAAGGTACATATCATATAGAAATTTAGCTTATTATCACAAGCTTTCGCCAAATTTTATCTTTTTGTTGTTCTTCCCAAAAGTGAAATATTTAAATTTGTTTTTACTTTTTCCTGCTAATTCTCGCCCTCTCGACAACTCATTCAAGTTCTTTTCAAGCTGTGCCAGAGAATTTTAAATATTGTAATTAAAACATGATCTTTTAGTCTTTTAGATGTTGTTTCAATCAGTAGCTATTCACCTTTTATCCTGAAATTTTATGTATCTTATTTTGCTACATCAATGTTCTGCATTTCAGCCATCCCAGAGTACTGAGGATTCTTTTGTCTGGTCAAGGGCCATCTGTGTGACAGTTTGTCTGATTTTTAATTAAAAGGGCATTATCCCATGCTTGTCCCACCTATGTAGGATGCTGGGAGGAGTAGAAACTTGAGACCGACAGAATTTTGGTATTGTTTTTGCACAAAGTGGCTTCTATCGTACTTGTACTTGCCTAAGTAGCATGGACACAGACACGATACAACACGGACATATAGACACGTCGAATCCTAAAAAAGTAGGATGTCCACACCACATAGAGTTGGCTATATATAAGTATAGATTTTAATTAATATACATCTATTGAATAAGATAATTGTAGAACTTTAATTAATTTTTATTTATATACTAAGAGTTATATAATTTTTTTCTCTACTTATAAGATTTACATCGTTTAGAAGATGAAGATATGCGAAGATTGTATGTATTATTATATTATTTATGCTATTACTCTCATACTTTGTCATTGCAATTATTCTTTTTGCTTATATGAAAAAGGGTCAATGTATGCTTGACTTGTGATGCCCATGTGTATAATGTTAATTTTTATTTTGAGGCATGTTGATATTATTTTCAAGATTGTCGGACTTGGGCACTCTTAAATGTGTTCATGTTATATAAGACTTTTGTCAACTAAGTGTCCAAAATGTGTCGGCTAAGTGTACAAATTTATAAAATCTATTTTTTAATTACGAGCAGTGTTGTGAAGTGTCTTTGACACCTTTATAAAAGTGTCTATGCTTTGCGTTGTCACGCTTTTCTACCTGATCTTTTACCATTGCACCAATCCATGACCCTTTTTTTCTCTGATATTATTTTGATTTTCTTTTTGTACTATCATACTTTAAATGCTGAATGATAATGTGTTTTGAGTAGCCTTTTCAACTCACTTCCTCCTCCTTGTGTGTGTGTGTGTGTGTATGGAACAATCTTGTGTTTTCTGATTTTATAATCTTTGCATGGTTTCAGAAATGCCTACAATATGGTATTGCACAAGTTTGGTGAGAAGCTGTACTCAGGACTTGTGTCAACTATGACTTTCCATCTAAAGGAGATATCAAAATCTATCGAGTCTGCTGAGGGTAGTTTGTTTCTGGAAGAGTTGAACAGGAAATGGACAGATCATAATAAAGCATTGCAGATGATACGTGACATTCTGATGTACATGGACAGGACTTTCATTCCAAGTGCCCAGAAAACCCCAGTTCATGATCTTGGGTTGAATCTTTGGAGGGACAACATTATACACTCCAGCAAAATTCAGACAAGGCTTCTAAATACACTTCTTGAACTGATACTCAGAGAAAGGACAGGTGAAGTTATTAACCGGGGTCTGATGAGGAATATAATTAAGATGCTAATGGATCTGGGACCTTCCGTTTACCAAGTAGACTTTGAGAAACCTTTTCTTGAAGTTTCGGCTGATTTTTACAGGGTTGAGTCTCAGAAGTTCATAGAGTGCTGTGATTGTGGGGACTACTTAAGGAAAGCTGAGAGACGCCTAAATGAAGAAATAGAGAGAGTGTCCCAGTACTTGGATGCCAACAGTGAATCCAAGATAACTAATGTTGTGGAAAAGGAGATGATTGCAAACCACATGCTGAGACTAGTCCACATGGATAATTCAGGCTTGGTGAGCATGCTCCTTGATGATAAGTATGAAGACTTGGGAAGAATGTACAACTTGTTCCGGCGGGTTCCCAATGGTCTCCCAACAGTGCGAGATGTGATGACTTCTCACATCAGGGAGACTGGTAAACAGCTTGTTACTGATCCAGAAAGGTTAAAGGATCCTGTGGATTTTGTCCAGTGTCTCTTGGATGAAAAAGACAAGTACGATAAGATCATAAATTTGGCATTTAACAACGACAAGACATTCCAGAATGCATTGAACTCCTCTTTTGAATTCTTTATTAATTTGAATTCTCGTTCTCCTGAATTCATTTCATTGTTTGTTGATGACAAACTGCGTAAAGGTCTGAAGGGAGTTAGTGAGGAGGATGTGGAGGTTGTTCTTGACAAGGTGATGATGCTATTCCGTTATTTGCAAGAAAAGGATGTATTTGAGAAGTACTATAAACAACATTTGGCAAAGCGGCTTCTATCAGGAAAAACTGTATCTGATGATGCAGAGAGAAGTTTAATTGTTAAGCTCAAGACAGAATGTGGATACCAGTTTACTTCAAAATTAGAAGGCATGTTCACGGACATGAAAACCTCGCATGATACAATGCAGGGATTCTATGCAAACGATGGTGCTGAGTTAGGGGACGGTCCTACATTGGCAGTCCAGGTTTTGACAACTGGGTCTTGGCCCACTCAGCCCAGTGTCACTTGCAACTTGCCTGCTGAAATGTCGGCCCTGTGTGAGAAATTCCGGTCGTATTATCTTGGGACCCATACAGGTCGGAGACTATCTTGGCAAACTAACATGGGCACGGCTGATATAAAAGCAACCTTTGGAAAGGGCCAGAAGCATGAGCTGAATGTTTCGACATACCAGATGTGTGTCCTCATGCTGTTTAACAATGCTGACCGGCTTAGCTATAAGGAAATTGAGCAGGCCACAGAGATTCCTTCTTCAGACTTGAAAAGGTGCTTGCAATCTCTGGCTTGTGTAAAGGGAAAGAACGTTCTTCGCAAAGATCCCATGAGCAAAGAAATTGGAGAGGAGGATGCATTTTTTGTCAATGACAAGTTTACAAGCAAATTCTATAAGGTGAAGATAGGAACTGTAGTTGCACAAAAGGAGACAGAACCCGAAAAGCAGGAGACCCGGCAGAGAGTGGAGGAGGACAGAAAGCCCCAGATTGAGGCTGCAATAGTGAGGATTATGAAATCGAGGAGGGTACTGGATCATAACAACATTATCACCGAGGTCACAAAGCAGCTGCAGTCTCGTTTCCTGGCCAACCCCGGAGAGATTAAGAAACGAATTGAGTCTCTTATCGAGCGGGATTTCTTGGAGCGAGATATGGCAGATAGACGATTGTACCGATATCTTGCCTGAAGAAACAGCTTGGGTAGAACTACTTGTTTCGCGGGGCAGGTTGGTTCTACAATTTGGATTGTACCTTAATTTGTAATTGACAGTTAGAAAGTTGTTCTTTCATATTCTGCAAGCTCATATGAGTTTCAATGAATTTCTGTTTATTGATGCTCCTTTTGCGCACCATTTTAGTTTGTCAATTGTATTATTCTCAAGCTTTGTTTGGTAGTTAATTTTCCTTCAAAACCGATGGAATTGATGTATTATGGAACCCCCACGCTGACTGTGAGCGGTGGAATACCGGTTGATGTATCAAAATTCGTTTTTAAATTCATGGATTTGAAATTTAAGACTCAAATTCAAATCTAAATCCAAATTCGCTAAACTAATCTTGACATTGACCCGACTACAAAGATCCTTTTAGGATTCATATAATATATAAAATAAATTTATTAATAAATTATTTTGTGTCATTTAATATTTGAATTGAAAAACTTCTCTTAATTTATCATTGAAAGTGGAAAGATAGATCGAGTATAAAAACATATATAAAAATTAAATATTTTAATTAAATTAAATATATAAAAAATATTTAATAACAAGTAGTTGATTTTTATTTTTATATATTTTCATGACAAATTAAACACACCTACACGGTCTACACCCCCACTTATTCATGTAATTGAACATTAACTATCTATTTTAGGAGACACGAAAAATGATCTGTAGAATGAGTTTCATGTAATTGAACATTAATCATCTATTTTAGGAGACACGAAAAATGAACTGTAGAATGAGTTTTTTTATCCACAAGAAGACTTTTTTATCCACAAAGGGTCTGTCGTTTTCACGACAACTTAAAAACCGTAGATTGCCACTTTGATATTATTCGTGTAGTTAAGATTATTTAAAATAGATATATAAATAAATAAATGACCGTTGATACTGTGAACAGTGAATAGTCATACACCAATAGTAGTAGTTCAATTTTCCACACCCGACGACCCTATTTTTCAAAGTAAACATGACGGACAATTTCTTTTAATTCGATCGATTGAAAGTTCAATTTGGGATTTGGGTTTTTGATTTGAGTTGGAATCGGTGGATTAGAAGATGAATAATAATCAGAAGAGGAGGAATTTCCAAATAGAGGCGTTCAAGTATAAGGTGGTGGTCGATCCCAATTACGCCGACAAGACATGGAAGACATTGGAGGACGCGATTCATGACATATACAATCACAACGATAGTGGTCTCGATTTTGAAGAGCTTTATAGGTTAGTATTCATAGTAAATTTGTCGAATTGTGTGATTCTCATCCAAATTTATACCTGTTTTATATGTCTGATTTGCATATTTATGAGTATAAATATATCGTTTGTCACATTTGCTCAATTTGTGCAGTTTTAATCGTATGCATGGTGGTATAGCTCTGTGGATTTATGAATTTATTTTTTGATAATGTTGTGGTGGAATCTCTTTATTGGGATGTAAGAGGAGAAATGCTTGTTGAGCTTTTGGGTTGTCTTTACAATTCTTCTGGGGTCTCCTCGGATGTCAGTACTGAGGTTTTCCTGGTTTTGGATTGCGTTCAGTGATCTATAGTTTGTGGAAATGGTTTTTCAGATTAGAATTGTAGAGGTAGGGGGGTCTTTAGTTGATTGAGATCTCATAGGAAAGCTGAAGGCAGTATTGTCATTTTCTTTGCTGCCCGGGGGTCCTGTTTTTACTGAATATCTTTTGGTTCAACAGTTGCCAACGTGCCCTAGTGTATGCATTGATGCAAGGGAACTTGGTGAGCTGTGGAAGAAAAGATCTAGGAGTCTGGTACTATTCAAAATTTAAAAACATTGTTGTTGGTCTTTTTTAACCGAAATAAGAAACCGTTAATTTGGAGGAAGAATTTTTTTATGTTGTACCTAACGAAAATATTTACCCAGATTGTTAGCTTGTATATGTGTCAGTGTATGCATTGGATTTTGATGACACAACTGGCGAAGAACGGGAAGAATCAACAGTTTTGGATCATTGGATCGTATCGGCTTTTGCACGTTGATCAGAACTGTTTCCCGGGGCTTTTTCCCTATCTATTAGTGGGAATAGAATCAGTAGGCGTATTAGTATGGGCAAGTCTTGAAGAGCCTGCCTGCACCAGCAAAGAAATCCATGAGCAGAACCCGAGGTCCCTCATCGCTGACTTCAACGTCGTTAAAGGAGCTCAAGGCAAAGCCAAAACGGATCCATTATACATGTTAGATGTGCACGAGGTGCTTGCTTTTGCTTGTGGCCTTCTTTTTATATGTTAGGTTGTCAACTCTCCTTCTAAAACCTACCTCCTCCCCAAAGTCGAAGAACAGGTGTATAACATGCTTGCTGTCTAAGATCTTGTTGATGACGGCAATGATGACTCGTCTGCCATAGTGTGGCGGGGTTGAAAGAATGAGGTCAAGATGGATATAGATTTCCCTGAAGAAACTGACTTTCTTGATTGTTTAGTATTAGATTTTTGCTTTAGAAAGGTCACAGAGGGTTTTCATAGAGACACAAAGAACTCGTCTTTATCTCTACGAGAATTTCATTTGTGAGAGTCATCCTTTTTTTGAATTCAAATTCAATAAGATCGAGCAAGACTAGCTTATAGCAACACACCAAATACAATTCGTTTCTAAATGTTGTTTGTATACAGAAAACTCTCTCACCCGGGGTTGAAACCACAGTCCAAGAACAATGGTTGGATGCAAAACGATTTCATCAACCACAACAGCCACATGATACAAGGCTTCCCATGTTCCAGTCATGGTGGCAATCCCCTTTGGCTTACGGTCGATGTTTGCATGTTAATCAAGGAAATTGGTAGTAAATACAGGTAAAAACATGTCTGGAACCGAGTTCTGACCCCTCAGGCTGGCCCCCTATATCGCAGCTTCCATCGTTTATTTGAAAGCGGATTTCCTTCCAAACCACGTGAGGCTTAAGGCGACCCCGCCAACCGCAAGGAGGGTTTCTTGACATAGTCCCGTTCCGCCAGCTTTAGGAGTCATTGGTCCCACCGGGAAGTTGCAACAGCTCCGGGCACAGAAGCAGCTGAAAAAGGGTAATAAAGGTTTCCAAGATGATGAAATTAGGCCGATTATGGCCTTTGTAGCCCCTCTGTAATACCCCGATAATTTAAATGATTTATAAATTGAGATTAATTAATTTAATTTTATTTTGAAATGGTTTGTTGGATTTAATTGGGATTAATTATTTTTATTTTATTTTAGGATAATTTCACTGACCACCCCTGAAGTTTGGCCAAATATCAATCTAAAACATCTTTCGAAAATAACTATCACTTCGGTCCATTTTTCCTTTTCATCACAGTCTCCGTGCATGAGAAAAGACAACTTTGCCCCTATTTTTTTTAATAACATTTATTTTAAAATATCAGATTAGTTAAAAGACAATTATACCCCTGACAATTGTACCACAAATAAAATCCCTAACTTCATCATCTCTCCGACGATGTCAACGCAATTGCGGATAGATGATCAGTGCGGCAGTGTTTGTGGGGTGAGTGGTGGTTGTGCAGTGGGAACAGTGGTTGTTATGGGTCTAGTGGTTGCGATGTCGAAATCATGCGAACCATTCACAGTTTCGATGACTGACGTCGAAGTCGTCACCTATGGTGCCGGAGGAGATGAAGACGACGAGGGCTTGGAGGTTTCTCTGTAAACCCTTCCCATGCCCATACACAATCAACGAATCTAACAATTGGAAGAGATTAAGCCGGACCTGGCTGTAACTGCCAATCCTGGTGGTGATGGTGCCAAAAACCCATCAAAAAGGTAATAAAAACAATCCTCTTATGATTCCATTTCATTAGTTTGTTGTTGAAATTCTTATTTATTTCATCCAACTTCTGAATTCCCTATACTATACTGAGACTGCATATTTAGGTCTCATAATTGTTTATTGTTTGGTTTGTTCAGAATTTGATATATATATATATATATATATATATTATCATAGAAACAAGAAGATTGATATATGTGTTTCCTTAACTCCAAACATAAAAACATAAACTTTGAGGGTCAATAGCTAAACATCAGCCGAGATCATAAAGAGAAGTGGAATTCATACAATGGATTTAGAAGCATCAAACCTCTCTTGTTCGGAAGAATCAAAACACATCGAAATGGTACCTTATATATAAACCCCCTCTGGCCAATATTCCACATAAACCCAGAAAATCAACCCCAAACTTTTGACCCCTTGCCAAAATCAACCCCTCCGGCCAATTTTCCACCAACAATTTCCGAACTTAGATCATCAACAACAATTTTTTTGCCTACCAATTCGAGTCTGCCTAAACCCAGAAAATTCAGATCATACCAAACCATAGTTTCCATGGTGAAAAATGGAAAGAAAAGATTTCAAAATTCCGCCGGCGATGCTAAATTCTTTGGTGAATTCACGACACAATGGCGAACAGCAGCACAACTCCAAGTGTTCCCGCAAGAAATCCATAGACGAACAAAACTGGTGGTGATATTGGTGATGATTGGTGGCCTCGACACTACAACGGACATGAAGGAGACGAACAAAATTGGATTTTCCAGAGAATTGAATAAATTAAGGTTTTGTTGTAATGGGTTTAAATTTGAGTGAGCTAACTCTTCAAATTCAATTTATGTGACTACAATGAATCAGAAAAGCAAAATTGCTAACAGGGACTTAAAGAAGAAGAGTATGGATTTCATTGGTTTTCCGAAATCTAACTGGATTTCAATGGTTTAGGGCTTTAATGGTGAATGTAAGAGACGACACAAAGAGTCAGTTGAAGCTAATTTTACTGTATATGGAAAAGGAATGGTAAACATGTCATTTGAATAGTCAAACTAAAGTTAAATGAGGGTAAACATGTAATTTTAATCATTAAAGAAATAATTTAATGGGTCAAACCAAAGTCAATGGGTAAGAATGTCTTTTTACTCGTAAAAAGTGGTCTGACACACCTGTCAACTAACTTCTGGGGTGTGAGTGAAAAACGGAATAAACGTTTATAATGTAAGTGATAGTTATTTTCAAAAGATATTTTAGACTGATATTTGGCCAAACTTCAGGGGGTGTCAGTGAAATTATCCCTTTTATTTTTAAATGATTTGTTTTATTTAAATTGAGTACTTAAATTATTTGTTTTGTTTTAATTAAAATTATATTTCATGATTGATATGATGATTGTTGTGTGTGTGTTTGATTATTGATTGAATTATTGATGTGTTGATTTTATTGGTATGGTGTGATTTGATTGTAATTTCTTGCTTCATGTAATTAGTTATTTTAATTTACGTGTTTATTTAATTATTTGATTTATTTAAATTAATTGAATTTGGGCTTTAAGGAAGTTGGACCAATGGATATGGTTTTGGGCTTGAAGGAAGCCTTGTAAATTAATTTAATTATTTTATTTTAATTGGATTGGGCTTAAGAAGAGTGGGACCAATGGATATGGTCTTGGGCTTGAAGGAAGCCTTATTGGGTTAATTAATAAAGGCCGATGGTTATTTGATTTTTTAAAGATTATTATTTTATTTGGGAGTCCTAGTAGGAATATGATTTGGATTCTAATGTGTATAAATATACACATAAGGCTTTAGGGTTAAAAGTTTTACACGTTAAAAAAATAAGAGAGGTAGAGAGAGAGGAAGAAGAAGGGCTGACAAGGAGGAGGCCGGATTTGAGACGGAGGACGTTGAGATTGAAAGAGACAATCAAAGCTTGAAGCGTTAGTTTCGTTTTGAAACCTTCAGACGAGTTCTTCTCTATCTTTCCTCTTAGAACTCATAAGGATTTCATCTTGAGTATTAAGGCTTTAATTAAATTTATTTGTTTAAAAATTATGGTTAGATCGGAATAATTAAAAGTATAAACTATTATATTTGATTTTTAGATTATTGGATTTTAATTGATATATATAGGTGCTATATATATATATATTAAAATTAATCTATAGGTGAATTTGTGACCCAAGAGGGTTAATTAGGGTTTCTTTATTTTCTAGAGTTGTTCTATAATTTTCTGGAATTTTTCTGATATTTTTCTATATTTTTAGGAATTTATTAGGATTTATTTTTCTATTATTTGTTAGGAAAATAATTATATATATATATATATATATATTTATATACTGTTTATAAATATATATATATGCAAGAAGGTCTGTGCATTGGCGCATTAAACCAAGGTGAATAATCCAGTGTAGTGCGAGAATGGTAGATAGATGTACAAGCTGATC